ATGGCTTAATAACAAAGCATATGGTTGAATGATTATCAAAAAAGTGAAGAAATTGCAAATATTAAGATGTTTTTCAAAATAGAAATCGATCATTAAAAGAAGGGAAAATGATAATTCACATATTCTGCCATGCAAACAAGCTCAAATGATAAAGAAGACACTTAGGTGGAACAGGCTAGGAGAGAAAATTGAGTCGTAAATGGAAGTCCTTTAAATGACGAAATGCGATATCTAGTAAGCGAAATAACCCAAAAAGGGGAGACTGGTTCACACAGGTTCCAGTTAGGTAAAAAATATATAATCGATCTTATATGCATAGTAGGCTAAATTTACAAAGAAAAGAAAGTAGGGTATGCAGGAACCTGGAGCTTGATAAGAAGATAGAAGAGAGTAAGAAAGTACAGTGTGGATGAAGACCAGGATGAAGTGGCCTTAGGTATAGAATGTACCTAGTCCTACGTCCTCTGCCAGTATCTAAGATGATTTCCAGCATCGGACCGTTGATTTGATCTATTGCCATTTAGTTCGCCGGCATCATAGGCAGTTACAAGTAAAGGCAACCTTCCTGACCAAGGTATGAAGAACAAGATGGTGTGGCCTTTTGTGTGGTCGCAGTCACCTTTCGTTGCATATGAGTTGTTTAAACTTGTTTTCGCAACTTGGTTAATTAATAGGAAGACTTAGAGGAAAGCACTTAGTCTGGAGTCCGTTGTATGCATGATCATTCCCAAAGTCGGACCGTGGACGTGGTACATCCCCAGACGCTTCGCCGGCATCGTAAGTGAGTCTCGGCATTCTTAGCATCACAACATCTTATCAAAGAGACAAGTGATGCCGATATTTGACCAAACGTGTGCCAAACAGTTGTAATATCTCCCCTTCTGCTATGATCTATTCAAATTTCCTATATCCTCCTATCACACCTTCACTGTTAGAATTTTTCCTTGCTTATTTAAATCTAGTGTGGTGTGAACTTTTGAGCGGCTTTCATGAGAACTCTCCTTCACCCTTGTCCTGGGTAAGAACGCCAGCGTGGAGTGCGGAGGGTTCTCATGAAAGCCGCTCCAAAGGTCACACCACACTAGATTTAAATAAGGAAAAATTATAACAGTGAAGGTGTGATAGGAGGATATAGGAAATGTAAATAGCACAGGGCAGAAAGGGAGATACCACAACTGTTTGGCACACGTTTGGTCAAAGGGTGGGCTTCACCCGCCTCTTTGACAAGTTATAGTACGGTGTTAAGAATGGCAATGCTAACTGACAAGGCCGACTACGATGCCGGCGAAACGTTTGGGAATGTACTACGTCCACTATCCGATTGGAAACTATCATGCATACTATAGACTCCGGACTAGATACGTTCCTCTATGTCTTCCAACAAATATGGCGAAGTTGCGAAAGCAAGGTCAAACAACTTCTATCGCTACTATAATTTACTAACCCATTTAAATCCAGTCATATTTTAGTATTTAGCCAAATTCTCAAGCAAAAAGTGGCAATTAATAAAAGGATAGATTGATATTTTTTACTCAAAGACAAGATTAGGCATTACTTTGTCATTAAACTTCACCTATACTTGCCTCCAAAATAAGTATTATCATCCAGATTGGACCAAAATTACGGCCCCACCTAATTCTAATCTCTAGGTTCTCATTCCCTACATGAATCGAACATAAGTGATGCAGCGCGTAAGAATTTTTGGGAGTTAAAGCCAAGCGAAATTCTATTGCATTATTGGGCCTAATCGTGTCACTGGGAAAACTCGACTATCCGCTCTTCATTACCTAGGTTGACAATAGATCTTATCCGGGCTCTAGTGGTAGTATAAAAACAATTAAATATGAATACTAAACATTGGCAAACGCCTTACTTATCAGGACATAAATCATTGGAGTCCGATCAGAAGGATTATCTCGGAATAAAAGACAAAATTGGGAAAAAATATTTAACATAGGTCAAAATTCCAAAGCATCATCCAAAAATACCATTTTACCAACATGCCCTAAATTAGCAAACTTTACAGTTTATTTTTCATTTATAAGTAGGTTTCCGGGACTACCAGTATATCATAAATATGAAGCTTACTCAGTATATTTCGTTTAAAGTGATCAAGAGCACTCGTTGCATTTTATGCTTAAACGATTTAAGATGCTTCCAAAGCCTATCAGGATAGCATGTAAACGAAATCAAACAATAAACTATGACATAAAACACACTTCTGTATAGGATTATATACGGAACTATAATATAGCTAATTATTATAGAATGTTAGTACGGGATAAACCTTATCCAGGACCTAAACCAAATACCTCTGTAAGGGCAGCCTTAGTAAGCGTGGTCGTATCGTTATAAGTCGACATAGGATCTTCAGAGGTTGGGGAGGACATTGTGGGGTAGGCAACGACTTTAGAGTTGTGGAAGAGAGGCAGTGGGGAAGAAGCTGGAGATGTATCCTCCACAGTTTCAATGATGAGATTTGGAGTAGTAAGAGAAAGATAACAGTCGTGGCAGACTCGCTGAGGTGTAAACAGACACTTTTCGGGAACAGGAGTCAGATACTTTGAGCATTCAGCACAGAAGAGATGACCACAATTTCTGAAAAATAAAAAGAGGGCAACATTTAAAACTTAAAGTGAAATGTAACTTAAAATCTAAATCGGGTACATTTTCATGTGTAGAATAAACTGTTAGGTGCACAGGCGAAGTAAGGAATGGAGAAGATTAAAGAGTAAATTTTATAAAGCTTATGGATTTCCATTTGAGATAATTCGGATTTGATAAGCAAAAAAATTAAATGATAAAAATTATGAGTAAAAAAGGTGATAAGGATTTAGCCGATCAACGTAGATGA